CGGCAGCGGCGGTGGCGGCAGTGGAAGCGAGGGTGAAGGCGACGAGGGCGGGGACGGTGAGGGCGACGGCGGTACGGGTGGCGGCAGTGAGGGCGGTGGTGTCGACGGTGGCGGCAACGAGGGTGGCGGCGGAGGTGAGGGTGGGGGCGGCGAGGGTGGGGGCAGCGCTGGTGGTGGCGGCACAGGTACAGGTACAGGTGGCGGCGATGAGGATGGTGGAACCGATGGTGGCGGTGACGAGGATGTGGGGGGCAAAGGGGGCGGCGATGCAGGCTGCGGTGGCATAGGCGGCAGCAGCGGAGGCGGTGGCGGTGGCGGTGTGGACGGCTGAGGCAGTGTTGGGGGTGGTAACGCTTGCACAGAGCCTGCTGTTGTGCCAGTCTGCGTGCCTGAGCTGAGGTGCGCGCCAGTACTTGGGACGAGAAGGACCATCGGTTGCGGCGCCGCCGGAGGTGGTGAGGACGGCGCTGGCTGAGGCAGCGAGGGTGGAGAAGAGGGCGGTGACCCGACAGGAGATGGCTCGTACACGCACTCGCCAACAAGCGGGCCTGGGCCATTGATGACAATCCCTGCAGCCGCGCCAATATGTCCAGGACTCCATGAGGGGATGTTCCCCAAGCGCATCGCAAGGTCCATCAGCACCGATGAAAACGGACCAACTAACTTCACTGTCACGGTGGCATCCAATGCATCATCTGCCCACGCATAGCCATAGATGTTTGAAAGACCAGCATCGCAGCGATGGCATTGTTGCGGGTCGCGCAGAGTTTTGCCGTCTGTCATGTATTTCCGTGCACTAAACTCAATGCCACCGTCTTTGTGTTCCACCCACAGCTTCTTGGCATTCTCTCCTGCGTCTGAGGCACTACCGCACGAGGTGCAGTAGTGCTCTTCGACCCGGACATCTCTGCCCCTGAATGCGACGGCCTCTGCTTTCTCAGCCGGGGGGCCCCGAGGCCGGCCGTCCATGTCGAACAGCGAAAAGTACGAGCCCGGTATGAAGAACGGTGTGTTTGTATCAGCAGCCACAAACGAGAGCTCCAGTGTTGCCTTGGTCCCGACAGCGACACTATAGGCGAAGGCGCCACACTGGGTCCTGCAGTCCGGGTCTCGGGCGCCCTCGCATACCTTCTGCAAGATGCACCCCGCGTCGTGGCAAAGAGTAGATCGTGAGTCGGCTTCAGTATCCGGAACGAACTTGACCACCAGGTCGAACGCCACTCCTAGGTGCTCGCCCAGGCGTGACAGCCGGACGCCTTCCGCTGAGTCGAGTGAGCCAGTGATGCGCTCCTCATGGGGCCGCTTTTGGCCGGTATCGCTGTACGGGTCGTTGTCGCAGTACTCGGCAAAGTCGATCACGGTCAACGTCGTGTCGCAAGCCGCCAGCGCGTTGGGAGTCAAGGGTGGAGGCGGGGGCGGCGTGCTGGGCGGATACGGTGGTAGCGAGGGCTGCGGCAGTCTCGGTGGTGGAGGCTAT